AATTCTAATTAAATTTGAACTCAAATTTTAATAATTATATATTATATAGGACTTCTAGAAATTGCATTATTATCTTACTATACCATAAAAATGGTAAAATTCTTCAATAAATCTTAAATAAATATCCATGGATATTTTAAATTTATCAATAAATTCTTAATAAATCTTCAATAAATACTAAAAAATTACCCAACGGCCTTTTAAAATATTCAATAAATACCAAATAAATACTTAATAGGCATTTTAAATCCAATTGAAATTATATTTTCCTCCCTCTATTCAACTTTAAGAGATCTAGTTTCCTATCTAGGGCAGTCAAATTTAATCATCCACTTTTCCTTTTTAGGATGTTATTTAATATGTTTATTATTATTTTACTCTCATTTTAAAAAGATAATTACAACATATATTAAATAAGAAATCTTATTTAAGTGGTACTTAATTAGAATAAATATAAAATTTTATCAATAAATTATTACATCTATATTTTATTAGACAAAAAAACTAGGTATACTAAAATTGAACATATGAAGTATTATCTTACTATATTATAAAAATTGTTAAAATCATTAATAAATCTCAACGAAATACCCAATGAACCTTTTAAAATCTTCAATAATTTTTTTAAAAATTTTCAGTCTTACCATATTATAAAAATGGTTAAAATCATCAATAAATCTTGAATAAATATCTAATGAGCCTTTAAAAGTACTTAATAAATCCATTAAAAATCCTCAATAAATCCCTTTAAAATCTTTAATAAATCCCAAAAAGTTGTGCATTTTATGTTTTAACCTAAATCATGTCTAATATAGATAAAGGGAGAGAGAGAATTGGAATAAAAGTAGATATATAATGATCAATAGATGTACAATGAGTGGCTAAAAAAGAATAGTATAGTGGAAGGATAATGTGAAAAGGAATAATAACAAATAAATTATTAATATAGAGAGAGAGAGGGAGAGAGAAAGTGATGGAAAATATAGGTATATAGATAAATATAATGATAAAATGTGTGAAGATAAGCTAAGAGATAACATAGTACCAAAAATTAATAAAATGAGCATAGGTAAATGAAAAGGTCCAAAGAGAATAATACAAATGAATTATATAATTTATGTTTTGACTTTAAAACTTCTAATATGAGCATTTAGAAGAGATAAGACAAATTGAAATAAAAAAGAGATATATAGTAGTAATAGTTATAGATGCAAATATAAAGAAACTAATGAAAATTTTGATTAACAACATTGTCATGTTTATCTCAAAAAATTGTAATCGTTATAGAAGTCAAATATTTGTTTATAATGAATTAATATATATTTGGAATGACTTTTATATCCATTAATTAAAAATTAATTTTAATTACAAATCAAAACTATTGTATTTAATAATTACAAAAAGGGTACAATATAGACAAACCATGCTATAGAATATAGTTATTAGCATAGTTTCTAATTAATTCAACACAGTCACCTATATATTCATTAAAAATTATTATTTTTAAATTTAAATTAAAGCTAATAATACCTAAAACTACAAATTCTAATGGCTTAGATCTTCCTGCATTTAATTTAAACTTAAAAAAATAATTTTTTAATGAAAGTGTTTTAGAAGGTCCAATTATTGTCTTACCCATTGTTATGGGGTTTTTATTATCCAAAATGGTTAATATTTTGCAATTTAGTAGTCCTTTCATTTAAATTTAGTAGTTCTAATTGATTTTTTGAGTTTTTAGACATGAATTTAGATAAAATTTAACAATTTGTATAAACAACATTTGAAAAAAAAATTATATGTAGTTCTTGTTAAATATTTTTTATGATCAAAAAAGGTTTTCAATTATCTTTTATATAATATATTAAATTTTTATTTGAAATTTGAAATTTACGTTTAAAAGGTCAAAAAAATAAATTAATACTATTGAATTTGAATGCAGATAATATAATTTGGACTACAAATCATTTTTTTTTTAAATCCCTCATATAAATAAAAAGTGAAACCTCATTTTGCTTTGGTTAAATTTCAAATTGTTTTTGAAATTTATCAACCCACATACCTTTATATTGAAATAAATCATTCCACAGACTTTTCAATTAAAAATAAATCAACTTGAATTTGATAGATAAAGTCATAACACATTAGAATTTTGTGAAACCCATTATATAGGTGTTAAAGTCTTTATGATTTGGCATATGTGAGCCCTACTTATGTGAAATTATTTTTTTTTTTTTTTTTGGTGAAAGTTGGTGACATGGAACATTTCGTATAGTCAACAATTTTCTTTACAATGTCATTGAATAATGTCCATATTAGTAGAAAAA